TTACCCCTGGATGTTGGGATGAGAGTTAGGTTTTACCCCTTAATAGTGTTTCATTCTACTTTGTGCATGAAAAAGATGACTTTAGAACCTCTAGCCATTCTGAAAGAGATACACTTGGACTTCTGCTTGAGCTGTAATGTACGTGTTCTAATACGAATTTCCAGGCTTTGAGGATAAGAGAAGATAAATATCTGGAAATGTAATTTCCTGTTCTTGGCAATTTGGTGAAGAATCTTTTCAGTGGCTTCCCAGACTCTTATTTGAACCATGAGCAATATTTTTGTTTGTATTAGAAGTTAAGCTTTTAATTATTGTAATCTTGCATGTATTTTGAAGGGTTCATGGGTATAACCAGTAGTAGTTTGAAATTTCTAACAGATTGTCTTTTGTGGGCCTATGGATTAATGAAGCTTAGGCAGCTCTTTTCTTTTCCCTTCCTGTTTGTGTTAAAACCTGATTTCTTTTTCAAAGGTTGATGCCCAGTTACAGGTAGTAAGGAAACTGGAAGAGAAGGAGCATCTGTTACAAAGCAACATTGGCACAGGGGAGAAGGAGCTGGGTCTTAGGACACAAGCCTTAGAGATGAACAAACGTAAGGTATGATTGATGACTCTGTAATCTAGAGTGACGATTTGTCTCCAAGGAACAAACAAGTATGACACTGATGAAATTACAGGCTTGCCTTATTCCTTGGACTTGGATTAACGTTTTGCCTCACTGGAAATAAGGTAATAAAGGTGACGTTGTTCGTACATCCCACATAGGCGATGGAGGCAGCCCAGCTGGCAGATGACCTCAAAGCACAGCTAGAGTTGGCTCAGAAGAAGCTGCATGATTTTCAGGATGAGATCGTGGAGAACAGTGTCACCAAAGAAAAGGACATGTTCAATTTCAAACGAGCCCAGGTAAGAGTAGTTTGTTTTTTTTTCCTTACATTTCACTTGTTAGGTGTTTCCTGAGCTCTGAAATCATCCATCTTACGAAGGCGCCGCTGGTGTCATGTACGTCATTTCCTCCTTGACTGAAGCTCCTTGAGTGAAGAGATCAGGTCTGTTTTCTTCACTGCCGTATCCCCAAGCCCTGTCACGGTGCCTAGCACCTATTGGGTTGTCGGAAAAGTCATGACGCATTTTTGCAACGAAAAACATAGAAAAGATATGTCATGACTTTTCTGACAACCCAATAGTAGGCGTGAAATAAATACTTATTAAATGAATGAATTAGTTAAGTAGCAGCATGCCTATATTAGAGGATTTAAAATTCTATAATTTTTCTCCTTTTGGCATGCCAACTGTTTCTTGCAGTGCTTTTCTATCCTTATCCTGTAAATTATTTTAATCCAATCTACAGTCATTTATTTATTTTTTTTAAAGATTTTATTGGGGAACTGGGGAAGGGAACAGTGTTGGGGAATTGGGGAAGGGGAACATTGTGTTTTTCCAGGACCCATCAGCTCCAATTCTAGTCATTGTCCTTCAGTCTTAGTCGTGGGGGGTGCATCTCAGCTCCCAAGTCCAGTTGCTGCTTTTCAATCTAGTTGCGGGGGGTGGAGGGAGAGGCAGGGTAGCCCACCATCCTATGTGAGAGTCAAACTGGTAACCTTGTTAAGAGCACACGCTCTCACCAGCTGAGCCATCTGGCTGCCCATTGGCAGCTCAGCTCGGGCACAGCTCACAGGCGCATGCATGAGTTGAACTGGTGACCCTGTTGCACTTTTAATTGACTGCGCTACCCAGCCGGCCCCTACCTTCATCTTAAAACTAATTACCTTAAGTGGCCTATCAAGTTATTTAATTAATTATTTATTTTAATTCAATCCCTTTAAACTCTTAGACTGTATTTTCACAGAACTGAATTGACAGTGCAACTCTAGTGTGGTGATACAATTATGGTTGCCTGTTCTGAAACAAAAGAAAATATCTTGCCATTTGCAATTCCCCACAGGAGGACATCTCGAGGCTTCGGAGGAAGCTGGAGACCACGAAGAAACCAGACAACGTTCCCAAATGTGATGAGATTCTCATGGAGGAGATTAAGGATTACAAGGTCAGAAACGCTGCCTTTGATTCTGTGTGTGCTTGTCAAGGCCTGACGTGGCCCACTGACATACTGGGAGANCTATATATATGTTTGTTTTTACATTGAAGTTTTTCATCTTTTAATTATTTTGTTTTATATATTTGTCAGGCAGGAAATTTATTTTCAAATGGATAGCCAATCACTCAAACATTATTTATTGAGGGCTGTAGCTTTTCTCTGCTGATCTGGAATTGGGGTGTAAACAATATAAAATGAAAAAAAAAAAGATATTAAATTTTATACATATTATGATAATAAATATATGAAACTAAGAAAAACATGCATCCCAAGTAGATTATAAATAAATAATATATTAACTGTGGTTGTGTATCTGGACCATAGAACTATAGAGACTTTTCCCCTTTTTATAATGAGCATGTATTTCTTTATATAAAGTCCCAGTGAATTTTATTAGCATTCAATAATAAAGACACCAAAAATGATTGCAAAAACCACGTATATTCATCATGAGGAATGCCTTCATTGTTTCTAAGAAATAGCAAAGTGACAGTGCAGCAAAGTAGTTTTAATGGTGACTTGGTCAATAAGTACCTTGAAAAGAGGAACTTTATTAGAACCTATATACATTTCTTTTACAAAAAGTGGGGCTTGGACTTTTCTTAAATCTGTTGATTGCTACTTTTCTCTCTCGCTCGCTCTTTATAAAGTAATTATCAGGCAACTGTACTACTACTACTATAGGTTCTAGGACAAGTGGAAAGACACACTGTGTTCTTATATAGGATAACTCATTATCTTAAAAATGCTAATTTTCTCAAAGTTAATGCATAAATGTAATGTGATCCAATAAAAATACTAATTTTGGTTTTTGTTTAGTTTGGTACTAGACAAACTGATTTTAAAGTACATATGGAAAGGTAAACAAGAATGGCCAGGAAAACTAAAAAAGAAGAGCAGTGGGATTGAGGGGTAGCAGTTCCTATCTCTAAAACATGTTAAAACAAAGTTTGAGTAGTAAGATAGCTTGGGGTTAACAGACAGACTGGTAGGACTGAACAGAAAGTCCAGAAATGGACCAAAGTACTCATGGGTATTTAATATGTGCCAAAGATACAGTTTTATATCAGGGGGGAAAAGGAAGGCTATTAAATGTGGTGGGCAAAAATAAAATAATATTGGAAAAAAATCGGATATGTATTTGAGCACTCTAGGATAATTTCTAAATGGATCATAGATATAATATTAAAGAAATGAATTCATAAAAGAGCTAGAACAAGGGCCGGCTGAGTGGCACAGTTGGTTAAGAGCTCGCTCAAGAGTTTGAGCTCTGAGCAACAGCGATTCGAGTCCCAGCCAGAGCTGAGCAGCCATTGAGCTGCCAACAGGTGGCAGGATGGCTCAGCTAAAA